GTTTGAGGAGATGATGGGAAGGTTTGTCTGTSCGTGTATTTTGCTTGCACAGCTCTTGTTTGTGGCTGTAGCTTCATGGGCAGCCGTGGGTGCTGCAGGAAATGAGCAGTGTTCAGTGCAGCCGTTCTGATCCCAGTGCCTGAGGATGTGCCATCACCACCCACCCCTGGGAATCAGCTCACTGCCTCCCTTTGCAGGGCTACATTAATAACTTCCATGTTTTGTGCTTTGGTATTTGAAAGTTGGCCCCAACGTGCCTAGACATGGACAAGTTGTTAAAAATTCAGCAGGAGGAAAGGACTAGGAAGATACATTTCCTTTTGGGGAGTGAATCTCTGTCCTTGTGGCATCMCTTCTCCCTGTTCAAAAGCAAACCCCAAGGGGACTGAGCAGTGTCAGCCACCCTGCATGAGGGATAACTCATTTTTAGAGCTGCTGCAGAGGAGAGACTCCAGCAGCTGCTGGCAAGGGGGCATTTCCTGCTGCCCTCAGAACAGAATGGCTGTGCCAGTGTAACTACTGCTGACCTGGCCCCACAGGAGTCCTGAACTCCCTGCTGCTCCTGTGCTTCCTGCCAAGCTCTGACACACATCACTGAGGGCTGGGGCTTAGCAGCTTGTTGGGGTTTGGTCCTTAGAACCTCGAATGAAAATAAGTCAATAAAAACCAATGCAACTGCTGCCAGGAAGGTTTGTCTCAGCTTCTCTAAGAGAACATCTGGGTGCAYAATGCAAAATTTGTATTTAGCTTATCTGCATTTAGGAGCAAGCTTAGGATAGAAAAGAGAGACCTAGAGTGGGTTTGTAGAGGCGGTGGAAAGCATAGAGCCTTTTCTGTGTTATCCTTGCTCTTTGGAAAGCTTTGAGTCTAGGGACATTCTGCTTTCCTGGAGAAATCATTGCTTTAAATTACTTTCTCCACCAGAGAAGCTAAAAAAACAGCAATGAAGTAAGTTTTTTCCTTTCTCCCATTCTCCCAGCCATTCTGGCCAGCTGGGTGTGGTACAGTGTGGAGCAGTTCCCTGTGTTTGCAGGCAGTGAGGGAGCTCTGGGAATGTAGCAGCCAAGGCACAGAGCTTTGCTGGAGCAGGGAGCAGCAGCTCCGTTAGCACCCAGCCCTGGACAGCAGTGCTGTCCCACAGCTCTGAGCTGGGGCTGTTCACAGCTCTCTGGAGTCACCACTGCCTGCTGGGAAAGGGACTGGCAATGCAGCAGGAAAGGTAGGGGCTCTAGAATGGCCAGGCTGATAGAAAACTGGAGAGTCCAGAGGAAGCATCATCCTGCACGAGGCATCTCTGTGGTCTCCAGGCTGCTTGAACACAGGCATTTCCACCAGCAGGAAGCAGAACGTGAATATTTCCTATCCTGTCAAAAGCTCCTTAAACAGCCAACTGTTGGATCCCCCTCTTGCAGTGCAGGTGTTCACGTAGGCTGAAGCCAGAAATGAGTCCCTCACCTACCACAGCAGTACATTCCTCCCGTTGATGACAGGCATCAGGGGCTTTGAAGTATTTTCATGGTCTGTTTGCCATGGTCTGTTGGTCCATTTCTGCTTTGGATGTATTTTGATTTTCTTTACGCTACAAAAGTTTCAGTGAGTTGTGGTTTATTATTTGACAGGTGGAGCAAYACCACTTCTAGTGCACAACACCAAGTCCATGGCTTTTTAATGAACACTGCTGGTGCGTTTTCCTCCCTTTGAGGGGTACTTGTACAAAAACCAAGCCCACCCATCACCCTGGGAGAGAGAGTGAAACCAGTTCTAATGATCCCACAGGGAAAACAAAAGTGTGTRGCATAATCTGCTTATCTTTAATTATTGTTTAATTACTGATATGCTCTAAYTTGTCTCTATGGACAATATCAGATGAGTGCTTTTGTTATGTTAGCTTTCTCTTCCAGCCCCTCGGGGGCCTTAGGGGTTATCACCAGTTGTGCATAACCCAGCAGAGTCCCCTCTTCTTGCACTAACATGTTTCTACAATGGGAGTCACATTTTGTAGTGCTCTAAAGCTTTAGAATTTTTTTTAAATATAAAATTGCCCTCAATGGTCCGTCACACTTCGCTCCATGATGTGGTAATGGGCAGAGACCAAGGCACTACAGTAAAATCATGGGAGCTGCGCTGCTCAGATACAGACACCATGCAGGCACACACTGAAAGTGGGGGACAAGTGACACTGAGCTGGGCTAGCAGGGAGTGAGGAGATGGCAGATGAACTGAGCAGCTGCTTTGGGATAAACTTACTGAGCARTGTATCCTCCTTTGCAGTTGTCAGCCGTGGCAGGGAACTGGTGCTTCCCTGCTTCCCAGACTGGCTGAGGGGCAATGGGCTGGGCTTTTTACAGCTCCAGGACTTCTTATCCCTCTGCCTCCTTAGCCAGGAATAAACTTTTTCACTTGGGATTGAATTTGGCCCAAGAGAGTCTAGATTTAATTATCATTCTTTTGGCTCTCCTTAACAACCAGCAGTGGGTTTTAATTTCCTTGTTCATTCAGAGGGTGATTTTTGTGTAATAAATTCCTGTGTTGAGACCAAACTGGCTGCTGAGCATGGCCAAGCTAGGAGCAGAGGCTGGCATTGCAGGAAGGAGCGTTAAATGAAGCAGTAAACTGTGCTTTAGTGATCCTAATGCTGGCAAACCTTTCCCCWGGAGCAGTTAATAGAGCACAAGCAGCGTGCTGGGAGGTGCTGGTGTGAGCACACCTGGCAGAGCAGACACACTGAAAACAATCCCACAACACTGAACAGCTTTCAGTGGCGTTTTTATTGATGATGTGATAGCAGGGCATTAGTTACAGATGTTTGCCATGCAGGTGACCTGAAGTACCCTGAGACTGTCACCCCCCGAGCAGGTCACAAGGCTGCGAGGAGCAGCAGAGCCCAGGACACCTTACTGACATCTTGATGCAAACATGTTGGGGGGAACCAGAGCTGGAGAAGGTCATTTTCCTTCCAAATTTTTCCTTTYGTTCTAATTAACAGATTGCAAAGGTAGGAAGGTGCGATAGTGATCTGTAGAATTTTTATTTCATACACACTATRGTTTTCAAGGGGTTTCTTTACCAATAACCTAGAAATTATTGTGTCCCGCCATCCTGAGCGTAGAAACAGAGCAGCCCCAGAGGAAAGCAGAGTTTAGGGCTATTTTTGCTGCCCACACTGGGCTAAGCTAGGCACTGCTGTGCAGACATGGTAATATATGAGCTGGAGCAGCCAGGCCAGAGTCTGGAGCCATCCCATAATGGCAGCAGTGACACACAGGAAGTTCTGGCTTTTGAGGGAGCCCTTTCACCTTAGCAAATGCACAAGGCCATACCAAAGGATCTCCTGAACTGGCAAGCACAGACACSCTGAGTAACAAATGTAGTCTGGGCAAAGATCATGACATGGCAAAAAGACAAATTAGGATCTTTCAAAAAAATTAGTCCAAGTGGATTTCAAATTCAAAAAGATTTAGGAAAAAAATTGTTTTTAAGTACATTGCAGAGGTCTGGATTAGCAGRATTTATTTTCATTGCAGGCATTCAGCAGTCAGTCACCAGCACAGCCTTACATTTAGGATTTGCCTATCAGAAGTAACCTAAATCCCTACCCTACAGCTGCTTTGGAAGAGTCTCCCCATTCCTTAAATTCAAGATGTGTGTATTTCACACATTGGTCTCAGAATAATGGTTTATTTAGAAGTTCTTCTTTTGTGTAGCAATTAGCAAAGTTTTTTTATTCCTAATGTCTGCTTTCCCTGAAATGCCAAATGTAAGAGTCAGATGATGTATTGGGGCTCACAGAATAGAGCAGGGAGCAGAACACATTCCTGTTAATGTTTCCAAAGGCCTTCCAGAGAGCTGGCATCCTGCTTGCTTGCAGGCAGTGCTTCCTTTACTACATTCTTACATCCCTGTTGTACCAACACCCTGTGTGTTTCATGACACATTTTCAAACTTCCATTTCCAAGGCATGGCCTTGGCCAAGGATGGCTGTTTGGGTGCTTCAGGCTCGACCCAGATATCAGCCCCGGCTCTGGGCTCACCCGAGCAGCCCGGCTGATCTGGCCATGGGGTGAGTGCCCATCAGGGACTGGCCCTGCAGCACCAGCTCAATAATGACACCTTTGTGTCCCAAAACACATCCAGAGCAGCAGTGGCCACGCCCATCTCTGCTCAAACTGGCTGCTGAAGTCTGGTGAATGCAGGATGGCTTTGGGCAGCTGGCACATTGCTCCTCCTCCCCAGCTGCAGCAYGGCCCCAGCTGTGCACAGACACCAGAGTTTGGCACTGCAAGACAAGCAGGATTTTTTTCTGACTGTGAGCTTCTAATTAATCCAACAGCATTTCCAAATAATTTAAGCAAGTGTTATCTTACAGATTTACAGACAAGCAACWCATATAATTGTTAAATAATTATGGGGAAAGATGACAAATCATCAGAAATTCGAGACAGGGAGACAAGTGGCAAARTATTAGACTATTCTGCCTCTGAATTCACTCATGACTTGCACAGGATGAATTCTCTTCTTTGCAGAACCTTTTCTGACAGCGGCATAGATTTCTTCTGGCTTCTCTTTTTTAATCAGGGGYTTCTTCTCTGGAGCCTTCATTCTCCACATCACAACGGGATGTCTTGGGCCAGCTGGACTCTGAATCTTGATAATCTTTGTGGATGCAATATAGGACATCTTCACTGTCATCACCACAGAATTCATTAAATTCTTGGCTGCCTGAATGAGTGAAGTGACGCTGTCCAACTGCAATAGGAAACGGAAACAACAATTAGGAAAAGTCAGGGTGCTTTTAATCACAGTAGGCACAGGAATAACAGTTGCCATGTAAGACTGCCAGAGACTAAAACCATAATTTCCTCATTTTCTCYTGGTTTGTTTGAGCATTGTACACGTGCTCTGCTGCTCAGATTTCAAGTGATGTACAGAAATTTGTGCTGGTGGACTAATATCAGTGCTTCTGGAGATAATGCTAATCGTTTTGGTTTTGTCTTTTACAGGATTTCAGGATGCTTGTCTGCAGTGTCTTATTGCAGTTACTACTGATGGGTAATGAAACCAACTTGAAGAAGAGCTGTGAAAATGTGCCCTGTGCCTTCCTTTGTGTCAGCAGCAGGTAAGGTCTGCAGCTGCTCCTGTGACATTCCAGGCTCCCCCACACACACAGGAGCCCTGCAGGGAGCTCCCCAAAGCAGTAAGAGATAGCTGTGTCTGTCCCCAGCTGAAAGGTGACCTAGAACCACCGAGGCTGTTTGACCTGGGGCTGCTCTGAGTCAGGACACGCAGCCATCCCAGGAATTTTGCTKCTCTCTTGGCAGCTCTGCACAGGCACTGAGGGACAGGGACACTGAGTTAAAGCTGCCCTTTAGGCTGTCTGCCCATAGTATTTGCAGTGTTCCAGCATCCACCTTTCCTCTCAGCTTTCTCACACATCTCACATTTGTCTCCTAAAGAAGAAGGTGCGATTGGGATGGGGTATTAACTGCACTCAGAATTCTGGAGCAGCTTTTAGATGTTCTTAGATGTGTACTACAGATGGTAACAATCAGGCCATACATTTCATCTGCTTTTTTTGGCTTTAGAGARCAGCTGTTTTTCTACCTCACTGCCAGTAACACTGTAGAGTTTGGTGGAAATCTGTTGTTCTATAAAACTGATGTACTCAAGAACTGTCTCCACTTGGATGCTTTTATCTCAGATATTCAGCAGGCTCTTCAAGGTCTCATTCCAGGAAAACTGAAGAAATGAGAGACTGATAAAATATTCATTGAGCGTTTAAGTTCATTTCACTGAGAAAGATGTAGCTGCAAACTCTCCAATGCACAGCAAGCAGTATGTAATGATTCACTAGCAAAACAAACAAACCAACCAAGCTCAAACTAAAAGCTGGTTTGCTTTTGCCTAACTCCACTTTTGCACTTTCAGCATTTTCCATGGAGATGCAGTGTTCCAGCCTCCAGATTTTACAGGTTTGACTGTGTCAATTAAGACAGTAGTTCATTAAAGGCTTTAGGAAAAACATCTCTCGCCATTTCTTTCCTCACCTGTCCTGGGAGCATTAGTACTTGGTTTGCATTGCACAAGGAATTCAGAATTATTTTGACCACTGTAATTTCACACTGGGGTGAAACAAAGAAAGTAAAGAGCAGAAGAAAAACAAAGTTAGGAAAAAAAGGGATTTTGAAGCTTTTCAGTTTGTTTACATGCCTTGTATTTTTCTCATTTTTGTAAAGTAATTTCATGTCTTGGCATTAGTGGCTATGAAATGTTGAACTGATATGGTCACTTTTAATATTCAGAATAACTAAGAGAATCATGCCTTAGAATTGGAAGAAACCCTTTTCCTGTTGTGCTGTCACATGTCAGCAGGAGCTGTTCCTGCAGCAGGTAAAACACAAAGTCTGCTTATTGCAGAGCACATAGAGAGGGCAGTCTCCTGCTCCCAGTCTCCGTGTGGCTGTGCAAGTGCTGTCCCTTTGCCATGAGCAAGTGCCAGCCATGTGCCTTGTGCAATAAAGCTGGGAGAGCTTGTACAACAGGGCACCCCAAAGGCCCTGGGCCCCAGCTGGGACACCTGCACTGCTCTGCTGTGACTGTTCTTGGGGTTTCTGCAGGCAACTCTAAGGTTTTGCTGCTTGAGAACAGATGTGTCAGCTGTCTGTTCTCAGTCTCCACAGGTTCAGCCAGGTTTAGGTTTTTCATAATCATCATGTGATGATTATGTGATGAACATCACATGTGATGAACATCAAATACAGAGTTTTCTATCAGCATTTGAAGTCTGAACTTAAAATTCTTTTGGTAACAAAGTCAGTTATTACAAATTGATTTTTAATTGAAACACAAGGTTCATTAAATRCATTCCTAGAAGCAGATTTCCTTTGTTACACTATACTGAGAGACTAAGACTGAAACTTTATTTCTTTGGCAGCTGGAGAGATTTCATCCCCATTCATGGAAGTGGCCTCAGGAAACTGGCTTCATTGCTTGGGTTGTTTCTTTCCAAGGAACTGAGTTTTCTGTAAGATGTGGCTGTTTTATTGGTTATATGTGTCTGTCTGTCCACCCAGTGATTGCATGAAACACCTCAGGGGTGACAGGGGTTTGTTCTGTTTGACCCATTTTTCAGGTGGGGAAATTGAAYCTAATGGACTAAAAACTAACCATTACCAGCGTCTGCTTGAGGCTAAGTAGGATTCAAAGAACTGAGACGGAGTTCTATAATTAGCTCAGGCCTGTGTCCAAGTTAAATGATAAACAGCTTATATTAAGGGCTGTGAAATTGTTCCTGTGCAACACCATAATGGAGCAGATGCTTAGCCAGGCGGAGAGCTCAGTCCCTCCCAGTACTGCTGCTTTYACTTCCAGGGAGGATTTTAAAAAAAGGAATCTGTTCTTTTAAAAATAGGCCCTTGAGTAAAAGAGAACAGTGGCTTAATATAAATCCTTTTCTTGCTGTTGAGGAAGAAATTGAGTGTTTGTTSCAATCATCCTTTACATGTACTGAGGCTAAGGACTACAAGACACATCCTTGATTTTGCTAATTACCTGAGTAATTATTACTAGGAAAAGTTATCTCCTGTAGTGTACATTACCAGAAATACTTCCTACTGCTTTAAATGAGTTYTTCTCACTAGATGCAGTTTAGAAAGCTGTAGTAACTGAGCTGTCTGTAAGTGACTGACAGTAGTATCTATCCCTTATTATGTTTCCAAAGGCTAGGATTTCTATATACAAACACCTGCCAGTGTACAGTGGAGAAAGTGAGRAAGGTGTAGTGTTACTAGATCAAAAAACCCAAAGAGTGAAACATTTCTGTCAACTCTCAGTAATGTATCAGTTCTTGGGGGTTAATGTCAGTGTTTTCAGAGTCAAATACTGAAATAAGTCATTTTATGCAAGGTGTGAGGCCCTACAAGGAACCTCCCCCATCCATTGACACAGCCTGAACAATGAGTTCCCAAGGAGTGCTAAGGAGAAGCAAATGGAGCAGAAGCTGCCCTGCTGCCRCAGTGGATCTGATGCGAGGAAGGAGGGATGCTATTCCACCAACAGCAGTGAGAGCAGGACAGAGGAACAGACCAGGTACCTGCAGTGACTCAAATGGGCTGTCAGAGCAGCCCCTGTCCCTGTGGGATTCCCTCCCCRCTTGCTGCTTTGTTCCTTCCCTCTTTGTTTCTTCCCTCCAGTCCTGCTGGGGCTGCAAGGATGCCCTTCTGCCTATCCTGACTTCTCTTGTTGGGGGGGACAGCACACCCAGACCCTAAAAGGAGCTGAGATGCCCAGCTCCCATCTCTGCCCTGCCAGAGGAGCAGCTCCTCCCCAGCAGCAGCTGAACCCCTCGCAGTGCAGCCAAGGCTGGGGCTGTTTGGCAGCTGCCACAGCGGTGCACTTTGGCCAAGGCAGCCTTTTCCTGGGCTGTGGAGCTCCAGGGATTGGGGCTGTGTCAGCCGGAGGCTGCTGGCAGAGCCCCGGCCGTGCGTTTTTCTACCTGCTGCCTTACAGCTTTGCCTCTGTGTTTTCACCTGTGCTTCAGCCTTCAGCTGCAACTCGTTCATTGCAATGTCATGCTGGAAACTTGTGATTTAACAGGCCTGGCAACTCAGGAAGGGAAACAGGTATTTCAGTGCAACCTCAGGGCATGAAGTTAGTGCCATGTTAAAGCACCTCCATTTGGCACAAAAGCAACCTGATGTCAGTGCTTAAGTTCAAGTCTGGCTCTTGAGATAGCAGGGGGAAGAGCTGAAAATGACTGAGACTCAATTGAGATTGAGTGTGCAGGAACACCAGCGTCAAACAGCCCTCAGTGCACAGCTAAGGCTGGCCAACGGCGTGGGGAGGGACGGATTGAGAGGGGATTCCAGTGCCAGGTGGCAAATTTGGGGTACTGGAACTCTTGAGAGTTTGATTCCACACCTTTCCTTCTTAAGGGAAGCAAGCTTTGTCTCTTGCMAAGTACAATATAAAATGAAACGCAAGAAGGTAATAACTAGAAATAGCACAAAACAGAACTGCCTRGTTGAAGTCAGGGAGCACAATATTAATATGTAAGATATGTTCATTTTGTGCCCTGTGATGTAATTCTCTTTAATCCATTGTTGGGAAAAAAGCAAACGGGCAAGGTAAGGTGGAAGCCTATTGCTGTGCAGTGCWTGTAAGTGAATTATCAGCTTATCTGCATAAATGAATGCAATTACTGTCAATCTGCMTACTATGAATGTTACCCCATGATTCTGTGCCTGAAGAGGCACCAATTTAATTAATAGAAGGAATGTCCGTTTCCTATTTAATCCCTCCTAATGAAGACTTAGAGAATCCTCACCATTTTGACTTGTGCAGCTTAGAACCTGGCAATGCAAGCAGCAGTGTTTACAAATGTCCGTATTATATGGAGGATGAAAGACTAAATAGTGAAGAAGGAATTTTTAATGAATGATAATAACAGAACAGCCGTGAATGGAGGATGAGACTCTAATAATGATCCACATATCTTCCTTTCTTTTCTTGTACAGGGCCCCTTCTAWMCCCATAAASCGGGGTGTGACTGCAATGAAAGYACTGGAGCTTGGGGATGGACAGTGWGCAGGGCACACTACAAGASTGTGGGGCCTGAAGTCAGAGAGCCACTGAATGAGTCCTGGCAGCTGAGAGGGCACAAAAGGAATTGCAGCAGCCCCAGGGCAGGTGGCCTGTTCAACCCACCCTCAGGATGCAGCCAGGTATGAACTGGAGCTAAAACACCTTCAGGGGAGGTGGGCAGGCACTGCTGCAGGGCAGACATGGGCACAGGGCACACCCACCACACTGAGCTGTGTTTATGGATTTCAGTTTTTCAYATGCATAATTCTCTAGGTTGTCATGGAGTTAAGTCCCAGCCGGAGCTGTGCTGGCAGCCAGGAGCACTTCCTCAGTGCAGGCTATTGTGGAGGTGAGAACACATTTTACTGCTGCCCCTATGGCATGGCATTGCCACCACGTGGGACCATCCAAGGTTAACTGGAACAGCAGTTTAGGGCTCCTCCACCTGCTCCACCACAGGATCATCCACAACTGGTAAGACACMGACTGGCACTTAGTTCTGTTTTCTGTTTCAATARGATGGTTCTTTCTTTTTCAGATCTGCAGATATGTGATACTTCATCCTCTGCCCTTCATCCCTCTCTTCCTTCCTCTCAGTTGGTCTTTAGGCTTCAATAAAGGGTGTTTTGGATGATTTTTTTAMATGAACTGCTACTCTTGTACAAGAGACAGAGTTTTTCCTTGAGGCTGACTTAAATCCAAGATCCTTGCACAGTTCTTAGGGTTGGAGAAGGGAGGTGTGGGGTCTTAAGAGCYGTCTCCAAACAGTGCTTTTGTGTGGATTTCACCAGCTTGTACTCAGTCATTGTCGCTTTGTTTCTCCAAGTGGATTTGTCATTGTGGAAGTTGGTACTGTCACATCTGAATACTGACCCTCTCCTCATTTTTCAGTTGTCACAGCTSCTGAAGGAGGGACTGGGAGCAGCCAAGGCCAGCCAGGGGAGGGATGGGTGAGCCAGGAGCAGGGAGTTCACTGCTGGCRCCCACGGGTGCAGGGGAACAGTGAYRGCAARCAACCGAGTAACCTCTAAGCAGGATTGTTTCCTAATGCTCCTTCTGGTGGGGTTTCTTTCCTGTAGCAGATCTTCACTACCCCGAGGATGGACACAGTTTCAGGTATTTGGAGACTCTCCTGAGTTTTTTACTGACTGCACAATAAAACCTTTACTATCTGCCAAGGGCAGGGCCTCCTTTTTACTTAATTATCTTGCTGTCTCCTTTTCTGATTCTCATTCAGAGGGGATCAGGAGTGGGCAGACTGTGATCCTGTTCCTGCTAAAATTTAGACTCTGGTATTTTCTAATGGAGTTCTTTCCTTACTGTCTTTTGGGGAGGAGGAGGTAGAAAGGGTTTGGAGAAGAACCCCTCTGCTTTCTCACACACAGCTTGGGTTTGTCAACTTTTGTCAAGGCCAGTRAACCTAAAAATGTGAGCAAATTCTGAAGCCCGCAAAAGCACTTTCAAAGCTGGAATTTGCTGCTGCTTTTAAGAACAGCCGTTTAATAGCACTAGTGTATTTCTCTCCCTCTCTGCTTAGTGATTTATCTGTACAACATAAATTCCTATTTTTCTAACAGAGGCAATTAAAATATAGTTGAATTAAATCGAGGTTAGGACAAGCCTTACAAAAGGCCATCACTGGTTGGCTGGACTGCATTTTCCCATAACCACAGTGTTAATTGCAGAGGGGCAGTTAAGCACAATCAGTYATGAATGGCCTCGCCTTCCMAATACAGAGAATTTTTTTTTTCCAATTTTCTAAACATTTTTTAAAACTGCTGACACCAATCAGGTGTGTCTCCACTGCCTCTTTCTATGTAGCACCCATATTAAAAAAAAAAATAGAAAATGAGCACAGTCATTCTCCTTAGAAAAGGAGCCTTTTCTAAGATTRCTTTACTAGAGAAGCAACCTTGCAGGGTCTCACCTTGATTTCACARAGCACCCCAAAGCCATTCAGGCCTTGAAGCATGTTCTGAATTTCCACTGACTCCAAACTAAGCACCCATTTAACTGTGTTCATGGAATTAGAAGTGAGTTGAACATTTATTTGAACATGGAGTTGGTTTTCTGAACTTTTTGGATGCACAAAGAACAAGTTCTCACACTCATTCCTTGAGGGTTAGTAAGATCTACRGTCATCCCTTTGGGATTATCAATGAAGGTAAGTTTGGGGTTTCATTTTCAGAACTTAGAATTTTTGCACTTAGGATTATGTACTTTCCCACTGTTGACAGGAGTGACACAGCAAAACAGGTAAAGAAAATAATGTGAGTGTTCCACAGTAGGAGACAGAGCAAGAACCAAACTTGGTTCCAACACACACTGGTKACYGAACTGCTTGGGAAAAGAAACAGGWAAGGAAAAYAAATGGGTAAGGAAAAGAAACTTKGTTGATATGCAACTGAGTATTGGCTTCAGAAATGATACATT